TAGGAAGATTAAGTACAGGGCTTTAAGTTACGTCCTAATGAGGAATGAGTTGTTGAAAAAGACGCCAGAAGAGGTGTTGCTTAAATGTCTAGGAGACACAGACGCGCACTTAGCAATTTCAGAAGTCCATAGTGGGACATGCGGGGCTCACCAAGCTGGCCATAAAATGAAATGGCTACTATTTCGGAAAGGTGTGTATTGGCCAAGCATGCTCAAGAATTGCATAGAATTTGCAAAGGGGTGCCAAGATTGTCAAAGACATGCAAGTGTCCAGCACGTGCCAGCCAGCGAATTGCACACCATTGTCAAGCCATGACCCTTTCGTGGTTGGGCGTTGGATATTATAGGAGATATTTGACCAGCCTCGTCGAAACAACAAAAATTCATCCTTGTGGGAATAGACTATTTCACAAAGTGGATAGAGGTTGTACCTTTGGTAAAAGTGGATCAAGAGACTGTGAAATGTTCATGGAGGAGTTTTATTCTCAGGACTTGATAGTTTTATGGAGGAGTTTTATTCTCAGGGCCGACAGACCAAGAGAATGATAGAGGCAGGATAGCAGAAGCTTACCCAAAGATACCTGTCGACCCTCATGTATTTGGATTGTCAGGCTAATATAACTCTTGGCTATTTGGTGAGAGCCAAGACCGAAGACGTAGTAAGACATCTAGAGAGTCAGAAATACATTGTGCTCTTTGTCCAAAGCGTCGTCAGAACCTTTATCATGGTGATCCTCTATGAAGTTCTGGAAGCCAACACGGTCGGAGTCGGAGGTAGCGTCCGTCTCCAGGGTCGGATCAAATGTCTCACCTAGAGGAGAAAGACACGTGATGGCTGCCACATTGAAGAGAGTCGACGTCAACATGCCACAAGGAAAGTGGAACGTGTTGGTCGAACCTTCCCAGAAAAACATTGACGCCAACAGTAGACAAGGGTTGACCTTGTGTGCGTTCTTGAAGAGCTGAATGGCATCGAAGATGCTAGCCGTCTTCCATTGGTCCTGATGTTTTCCCTGGAACTTTTTTAAATAGGAAATATAGTCTTTGTTGCCTGGGGGTAGGCATCGACCGGAAAACACGGGCCTTTAGCGCCATGAATTTTAGGTCGAGAGTGCCACCCTTCTGGAAAGTTGGGGGAATGGTGGCCAGAAAACAAGGAAAGAATGCATGAAGCTCCTCATGGATGGACTTGTTAGCAGGATACGACCCATGGAAAGCATGCGGCTTCCTAGCAACTGTAAAAGGGATGACCATCTGGCGTTGCCAGACAGCCACCACCACGTCATCAGCAAACGTCGGGTTTGGAAGGGGCCTTAGAGAGTCAGCTTCAGAGAGAACAAACGCGATATGATTGTTGTCGGTGGTGTGAGTGGTGGAAATGGGTGAAGAAGCCATTAAAAGGAAGTTAAAGAAATTTTGAAGAGCAAAGGTTGTAGGAAAGGTGAAGCGAGAGAAGAGTTGGGAAAAATAAACCAAATATGGAAATAAGCTATATATAGGCAAGCTGGCGCACAGTTGAAAAGGAAAAAGGAGGTTCCAATTCTAGAGTGATTGGGAGTGGTTTAAAACCCATGACGTTGGGATGTGACTAAACAGGATTATTTTCTTGGAAATCATGGCGCAGAAAAGCGCCATTATCACGTTAGACTGTGGGTGACGCGTGGCTGATTCGACAAAAAATAATGATGGTATTGCTATGTCATAACCAATACGTAGTCAAAACTCCATAGAACCAAAACGCCAAGTTTCTCGGTCGACTGAGTGTTCCGTCGAAACTGGGTTTTAGGGGGCATCTTGTCGGCTGGAAGTTTCGACTAAAGAAAGGCAACACAAAGACTGACTTGTGGGTCGACATGCTGGGAAAGATGGTGAAGGAAATGAGGTGAGCCGACGCCAGCAGAGGAAAGCTTGTGGGTCGACTCAGGAAGGTTCTATCGACAAGGTGGACTGATGGGCAAGGATGCCAACGCAAAGGAGGAAAACATTTGAGCGGGAAGAAGATTTGAAAGTTGAGAATGTAGGAAGTTACATAAGTGGTGGAAGGACACATGACGCCATCAAATTCAACATGGCAGTTATTTTATTTTCCTATTTAAGGCAATGCCCAGTTTCATTTTAAAAGGACACATTTTGTAACATTGTAAGGAAAAAACACTCTGAGTACCAAGCGTTAAGAGAAAAGAGTTTCATTCCTGTAAAATGTATGATCGTGCCCACATTTCCTCTTAATAAGCAATTTATATCATCAACTTTAGAGTTTTTTTTTACTTTTCTTGTTTATGCATTCATCTTTATTTAATTTTACACAGTCTTTCTCATATTTATCTTCAACCTACTCTAAACAACACCATTTCACCATCATCTCATACACTCGAAACCATCGTTCTGGGACTTGTTTGGCCGGTCCCGCAAGTAAACATGCGTTAGGAGGTCAATGGTTGTTCGCGCAAAAACTGCGTGCGAACACTACCTCCATCACTAACAAACTTATCCTTCCAACTATTGTAGTTTGAAGTATATGGAGAAATGAGAGGTCGACATGGGATAACACCCATAGAAACCCACCCACATAAAGCCACACCTTTTGTTTCATGAAAGGAAAATAAGATCCCGAATGTAGGTGTGAAGTTAACTCCAAGTCCACTCGTAAAGCCCTTACCCAATCACCTTTGAGACAAAAGGAATCTAGACTCAGATTTCTTCGCAGAAGAAACTTGAGGGAGACATGGAGAGCTCCACGATGAATTCAACAGAACATGAGGAAGAAGACACCATATCAGTGTAATATCGCTATATGCACTATCAAAAAAACCAAACATCACCCTCTCCATATATTTCCAATCCATTTTTTTGTTCCATGTTCCGAAGCTTGAAATAATTAATTCCATGACTCATATTCTTCGAAGCAGTTCGGGATTCCATGGCTTTTCAAACACGTCACACTTATGAATAAACACCATAACTAAGAAAAGGATAGATGAAAAGTAATAAGGGTTGAGGTATTACATGTGATTTTTTAACAACTGGAGAACAAGAAAAGATGAAGAGGACTGAGAAAAGAGCACATAAATTGAGGAGTATAAGTTGAAATGATTTGGAAGAAGATAGAGGGTTAGTCTATTTAAAAACGCAAATGGCAGACAAGAAAGCAACGACACATAATGCTAGCAGCCTATGAATGTAGAGGTTAATGATGAACCTAATTTCTATGTGATTCCTAACACACTTAGAAATATTTAGGCCTAATCAAAGCTAAATCCCCAGTGAAAATAGAAATATCAAGAGGTAAGAAAATAACTATAACAAAAGACTATCACGAATTTAGGTGACAACATTTAGGCTAAACATCTTGCTCTTGCATAGGACTAAACATCTTGCCTTTGCATATAACTAAACATCTCGCTCTTGCACATGGACTATGCACAATCAGGTCTCTCACCTAAAGCATTTCTCTCTAACATACCTCTTGCATGAGGGATTATGTACAATTTGGTCCCTCACCTAAAGCATTTCGTTCTTACAAACCTCATGCTTGAGGGACTGTGTACAACCTGGTCTCTCACCTCAAGCATTTAACTCTCACATACCTCATTCTTAAGAGAATGTCTACAATCCAATCCCTCACTTTAAGCAAATTTCTCTTAGAGACCTCTTGCTTGAAGTACTATGTACAATATAGTGTCTCACCTAAACCATTTCACTCGTACATGCCTCATGCTTTAGTGACTCTACAATCTAGTATCTCATCCAAAGCATTTTGTCTATATAGGTCTTTTAAGGATATGTGTGCATATCCGATAAAGATAGGTCGAATCTGAATCCATACTCAACAGAGCTAGACCCAAACTCAACAGAGCTCGACCCAGACTCAACAGAACCCACCCAATTTTAAGTCATATATGGGACAAGACCAAATTAGTCAAACTTAATGTATCAAGTCGAACAAGTCAACTCAAAGCCAAACATATCTCACTTATATACTCTAACACGCAGACAAAACATTCAAGATATATTAATAATCATAAGTGGCCAATCTTAAATAATAAAAAAAACATATGATTTGATAATTAAGTGGTCTCATGCCGAAAAGTGAACATAAATTGATTTTAGAGGCATAGAACCTATAAGATTGTATATATAATAGTAACCATCAAAGAAAAGATGCAAACATTTTTCCTTAGAAAAATACTTAGACTCTAATTGACTCGCAGGTCGGATTATCATTAGTGTACTTCACTTGTATAACTACTTAAAACTCATATATACAATCATAATATTTTCATATTCAAACTCAACATAATATACAATCTAATAATATCAACTTTTGACATTATAGATATGTCTTATCGATTGAGTTATTTTATTTCATTTATATATTATTCTGACCTTTTAAACAAACATAAGATTTCTAAGTGTCAGGTATATAAGGCTTTTATCATATATCTCTTTCAATAATTAAAACTTTGCCAAAAAAAAGTTGGTATAACTAGCTGTTTTACCTCGTAAAGAAAATGATGCAACAAAGTGAGGAGTTCCACTGATGAACAGTATAGTCAGAATCATGTCAAATGAAATGAAAATATTTGCCCAAGATAGGGGAGAATATAGAATATGTCCAAAAAAAGGGTACACCATACAAAGTCCTGAAAGCTACTTTAATCATATCATAAAATCTTTGACAAGTTGCTTTCAAACCATAAAAGAGAAACATGGGAAGCCCACATAGTTTTAACCTTTTATCTTTTCTTCCATACATTCACTTGTATTCATACTGATTTTTACCATTAAAAGTTAAATGATAACATCAAGTACATTTCTTGATAACTACGCTTCATCATTTATAGTCACAGTTGGTTAATAACCTTAGTACAAAACCTTTTATCTTTGATGAAGTTTTTTCTATATATGTACTTAGTGCTTGTTTGTTTGTGCCAAAGTCTTTGATTCGGTTGCCACATTTGTATAAGACATAGAGTTTAGATTGTGATAGCTAGAGAGAGATGGAGGAGGGGAAAGAAACTGGAATGAGAAAAGAGGTTGAAGAAAGTGACGTTGAAAAAGAAAAAGAAAATCATCAAGAGGCTTTAAAGAAGATTATTGCAAGCCATCCTTTATTTGAAGTGTTAATTGAATCTCACATTAATTGTTTCAAGGTAATTAATTTTATTTTTATACAGTTTATTTTCTTCTTTTTTTTAAGTAAATTAACATGTTTTTCGCATCTAACCGTGAAGACTAATTGTTTGAAAAAAACTAAAATATTAAATATTATTTGTCAAAATAGTTTTTACAAAGAGAATTATATTAAAATGGATGAATTAAAGCACGTTAATAAACTATGATCTATTTATTTTTTAGTGTGTTTAATTAATGTGTTAATATATATGTAATATTTTATTTCTTAGGTAGGATCTGAGGATGCAGGGGAGTTTGATATAAAACGTGATGCATGGAAGAAATTGGTGAACACAGAGTCCAAAGAAACTACTAGTCCAAACACTTCAGAGCTTGATCACTTCATGGTATTGTTTACATTAATATACATGAGTTTATCTTTAAAAGACATTACTTGTTTTTTTAAAAAATATTTTATCTATGCAAATTACCTAGTTATATATAATTTATTTGTATAGAATATACAGAATATTTTTGAGATAAAAAAATCACAATTCTAAAATTTTCATGGTCAAAATATTATATTTATTGCGTCAATTTATAGAGCAATTTTTTAATGAAAAATTATTTATATAAATTAAAAGAAAAGTACTCACCTTCAGTATACATAAGAATTATCTAAAAACATTAAAAAGTTGTCCTGAAACCCTAAACCCAACCAATTAATGGCATGTTTCACATGCAAAGATATATATATATATATATATATATATATATATATATATATATATATATATATATATATATATATATATATATATATATATATATATATATATATATATATATATATATATATATATATATATATATATATATATATATATATATATATATATATATATATATATATATATATATATATATATATATATATATATATATATATATATATATATATATATATATATATATAATTTGAATGTGTTGCCTATCTAGGTCACATGTATATGATATATTGTTGGACATTACAGGAAGCATATTGCATGGCACTAGGCAAGCTCAAAGAAGTGATAGAGGAGCCAGCTAAAGAAGCAAATGCTTTCATCAATGCAACCTATATCCAACTCAAAGAACTCGATGAAGGAAATCACCTAGCAACTTGATTATGATATGTAATAGTTAGTAAGAATTAATGTTGTTGAATTTTCTAGTTAATTATTGCAACTTTCATGTTCTCTTGCTAGCACAATTTGCCGCTTAGTTAGTGCTTATTTTGTAGAATTTTCTCACGATGTCTTAAAAGTTGAATGAGATATGGAATCGAATTAGATCTCTTGGTTAAATCTTAACTCAACTATTTAAACTAATCAAATAGAATCAAAACTGCAATTAAATCCTTCAAATAACTCAACTTTAACAAGAATCAAAAGAGCAATTAAATCCTTCAAATAACCTATCTTTAACAAGTGTCGGTTTCAGATCACTCACTCATCATTAGCCATCAGATCCAATATATCAGTCTTCCGCAATGTGCGTCGGGTCAATTGGAGCAGTTTTAACCGCTCATATTTAAGTTCATCCACATATCATTTAAAAATTGTCATTAGGCTGCATTTACACTTATTGTCATTAGGCTAACGACCTTCTCATCAACCAACTCATAAAAATTGATTTTATAAAATTTCCCTTATTTTTTCCTTTGAATACAATGGTTTTGTCAGCATTAACAACAAAACAGAAATTCTTATTAAAAGTTACTTCACAACCACTAACACAGAATTAACTTATGCTTAGTCAATTATGCTTTAAACCATCTACCAACCAAACTTTCCTTTCTGTCCACCTCCAAAACTTATACTCCATTTCTCTTTCAGATTCAGGATTTGAAATATATGCCTTTCTCCCGTCATATGACGTGAGCAACCACTGTTTAGATACCACATTTGTCTTTCCATCTTTTCATTTAGGCATATCTGAAGTAAAGACAATTTGAGATTTAGGTACCCATACACATATGGGTCCTTTCATGTTAGTTTTAACAGGTTCTCTCATATCATGTTCCTTTGCCATGTAAAAAGCTTTAGCTTCACTCTTAGTTACTGAATCTCTCTTAGCCAATGATTCAGATGTTTTGCATATTGATGTAATAAGAACTTTCGGACTATCAGGTTCTGATATTATAATACCTTTCTGTTAGAATACAGATTGGTTCTTAATAATATCTCTATGTTTTGATGATAACTATTATGAAATTTTGTATTTAAGAATTATATACTCTAAAATTTGCTTGAGAATGTTTGCTGCATGTTAAAGTAAATATCACTCCAGAAGCAAATTAGATCTGAACATAAGAAATATGCAAGGCTCTGAAGCGCTAGAAGCATCTCTTAGAAGATTCTGAACGCTGTCTCCAAAAGATTCTGAGCGCTGCCTCCAGATGGATCTGAAGCAGAAGCTACAGAAGAATTTGAAGCAATCCAGAAGAAGTCTGTATGAAGAGTTATTCAAGCACAGTTACTTCAGAAGACTCTGATAGTACTAACGCTGTCAGTACTAAGGATCTGACCCAAAACTCTGCTCTGAACTTATACACGCTGAAAGCACACTTGCTGCAAAGACTCTGATTCAGCAAAACTCTGATGAACATCAGAAGGCTCTGACTAACTTAGACTCTGATGATTCTTGCTGAAAATTTTTGAAGAAGAATTCAAAGATTATGTCCGTTGGAATAATCCAAACGACTCTTTCCTTATTTATGCTAGACACAAGAACACAGACAAAAAAGGATTTCTCTGTGCATTCTTCTTCTAGGAAAGGTCACTTGATTTGAAGACAAAAAGGCTCAGACCTTTTGGTACACTATTCTCAACGTGAAAAGCTCTTGGATCACCGTGCCTATAAAAGCAAGTCTCCACTCATCTTCTTCAGTTGACGAAACACTTTGAAAAGAATTTATAACTAAGCTCTCATACAAACTCATACATTCTTGTTAGAATTATTTCTTTGTTCTTAATCTTAAGTGAAAAAACCACAGTTGTGATAAAGCTTTATTAGAAGCATTTTTACACTTGTATTAATTATTACATTTGATTGTTAGAGAACCTTAAGAAGATCCAGTTAGGATCAGTAGTTCTTGAGAAGACTTTGAACAGTTGGTCTTAGTGCTTACTATTGTAATCAGTTGATTAAATAGTGGATTAAGTCCTTGTTTGAGAAATGCAAATCACTCTAGATAGGGTGGACTGGAGTAGTTGAGTTCAACGAACCAGGATAAAAATCTTTGAGTTTTTATTACTAAGTTTTTATCTTCATACTTATTCAACCCCCTTCTAAGTATTTTCTCACCTTCAGTTGGCATCAGAGCTTCGGTTCTGTGTGTGCTACCACTTCACAGTGACAGAAAAGATCCAGTGAGAAAAACTTTGATACTTATATTTGGTTGTTTATAATGGCTGATGTTTCAACATCCAACAAGTATGAAGAAAGAGACAGAATCAGTACAAAACCCCCTATGTTTGATGGGGAGAAATTTGATTATTGGAAAGACAGGATTGAAAGTTTTTTCCTTGGTTATGATGCTGATCTATGGGATTTGGTCATAGATGGATATGTTCATCCCATTGATGAGAATGGAAAGAAAATAGATAGAAAATCTATGACAGAAGCCCAAAAGAAGGAGTTTAGAAATCACCACAAGGCTAGAACAATATTGTTAAATGCAATATCTCACACTGAGTATGAAAAGGTCACAAATAGAGAAACTGCATTTGACATGTTTGAGTCCTTGAAAATGACTCATGAAGGAAACCTTCAAGTAAAAGAGACCAAGGCTCTGGCGTTAATACAAAAGTATGAAGCGTTCAAGATGGAAGAATCTGAGTCCATAGAAATTATGTTCTCTAGATTCCAGATTCTTACAGCTTGTCTAAAAGTTCTGGACAAAGGCTACTCGACTGCTGATCATGTAAAAAAAGATCATCAGAAGCTTGCCTATCAGATGGATACCTATGGTCACTGCTCTGAAGCTTGCCAAGGATCTGAACAAGATCACTCTGGAGGAGTTAATCAGCTCACTAAAGAGTCATGAAATTGAACTTGAGGAAGATGAACCTCAAAAGAAAGGTAAGTCTATTGCCTTAAAATCTAACAAATCTGTTAAAGCTTTGCAGGTGTTAGAGGAAAGCTCTGAAGAATCTTCTTCTTCTGAAGAAGGTGAATTATCCTTGCTGTCCAGAAGAATTAACAGACTCTGGAAGCACAAGCAGAGGAAGTTCAAGAACTTCAAAAGATCAGATCAGCGCAAGGAGTCCTCTGGACCAAAAAGATTTGGAAAGAAGGAAGTTGTCTGCTTTGAATGCAAAGAACCTGGCCATTACAAGAGTGAATGTCCAAAACTTCTTAAAGAAAAGCCAAAAAGGAAGTTTGAGAAAAAGAAGAAGGTTCTAATGGCAATTTGGGATGACTCTGATGAATCTGAATCCTCATCAGAATCTGAAGATGAATGCGCCAACATGGCTCTGATGGTTGGCATTGAAGATCAGAATGAAGAGTCATCTGGATCTGAGTCTGATTCTGAATCTGACTCAGAAGAGGTACTTTCTGATCTCACTAGGGAAGAGCTTATTAAAGTCTTATCTGAAGTCCTGAAAAATTACAATCAAATTAAGCTCAAATGCAAGAAGCTTAAGTGCAATCTTGGCTCTGAGAACAATTTGTTAAAATCAGAAATTGCTGAGTTAAAAGAAAACAATTTAAAGATAAAAGCTGATTTTGAAATAGCTCAACAAAATTCTAAATCTGAAAGTAAATCTAAATGCAAAAATATTTTAGAAGAATACGATTTTAAATTTCAGAAATTTCTTGCTAAAAGCATAGACAGAAGCAAAATAGCTTTTAGGATCTATGGGGTTAGCAGAAATAACAGGAAAGGAATTGGATATGAATCCTCTTCTGGAAAGGATTTAAATCCAATGTCTGTTGATAAACTTGTTATCAAGAAAACTCCCTTGTACTCTCATTTCAAGTTTGGTCATCTGAATGACATTAAAAGCACAAGTTCTGATCAGAACGTTGTTGTGTTTAAGCCAAAAGTAAGTAAGAATAATACTGTTGTAAAAAGACAGAAGTTTAGACCAACTTTCAAGGCAACTAACCAAAAAGGACCCAAAAAGATCTGGGTACCTAAGGATAAGATTATCCCTGTTGCAGATGTTTTTAGCAGAAAAGTCAAGACGCCAGTCATGGTACCTGGACTCTGGCAGCTCACGTCACATGACGGGAGAAAGGTTTATGTTCCAAAACCTGGAGCTTAAATCTGGAGGAGAAGTGATGTTTGGAGGGAATCAGAAGGGCAAGATCATTGGCTCTGGTACTATTGGTAATGGCAACCTTCCCTCTATATCTAATGTTCTTCTTGTAGAAGGATTAAATCATAATCTATTGTCCATAAGTCAATTAAGTGACAATGGTTATGATATAATCTTTAATCAACAATGTTGCAAAGCTGTTAATCAGAAGGATGGCTCAATCATATTCAATGGAAAGAGGAAGAACAACATTTACAAAATAAATCTTTCAGAACTTAAAGTTCAAAATGTTAAATGCCTCTTGTCTGTTAATGATGAGCAATGGGTCTGGCACAGAAGATTGGGGCATATTAATATGAGACATATATCTCAGATTAATAAACTTAATCTGGTCAGAGGACTTCCTAAGTTGAAGTTCAACTCAGATGCTCTTTGTGAAGCATGTCAAAAGGGAAGGTTTTCAAAATCTTCCTTTAAATCTAAAAATGTTGTTTCTACCTCCAGACCATTGGAATTACTTCATATTGATCTGTTTGGACCAGTGAAAACTGCATCCATCAGAGGCAAGAAGTATGGATTAGTCATTGTTAATGTCTATAGTAGATGGACATGGGTAAAGTTCTTAAAACACATGGATGAGTCATATTCTGTGTTCTTTGACTTCTGCAAACAAGTCCAGAATGAAAAAGATTTCAAAATTATAAAAGTCAGAAGTGATCATGGTGGTGAATTTGAAAACAAATATTTTGAAAAATATTTTAATGAAAATGGCATTGCTCATGATTTTTCCTGTCCTAGAACTCCACAACATAATGGAGTTGTAGAGAGGAAAAATAGAACTCTGCAAGAAATGGCCA